TGATCTGATTATTATTGTAAGCTCTTTCTTGAAATTTTTTATCATATTTGTCCAATTGAATTCAAATTTTCAAAAAAAAATACCCTGCTTTTCCTGTTATTTTGGTTATCATTCTGACAAAGAGAGAAAAAAGGGGGACGGGGTCAATCTAACCACATTTCCAATTTTCAGAACCTCTGAAGTTGTGGTCTTCGATCATATCATAGTATTTTTTTGCCCTTCCAAGAATTAGATGTTGACAGTACGTGTTTTAAGGTTTCTTTTTAAAGTTATATTTAATTAGTCGGGATCGATTTTTTTCAACTGTTGCCATCTTTTTTTATCCTGCCATAATATTTGAATGAGAGAAACAGACACATTGTTACAATATTTATGGTACATAGCAATAGAGATCAATATCTAATTCCACTCTTGTTCAACCCCAATCTATCAGTAATCAGATGTCACACAAATAGAACAACAATTTATCTGTCAAATCTCAGTCACAGTCATTTTTCTTTATTAAGAGGTTTTCAAATAATTTTCCCAAAAATAGAAACCAAAAGTTGAAAAGATAAGGGCTGTTTTAATCTCTGTCATTAATTACTGGAAAACTTGTTATGTTAGGGCACTGCTTGTTTTCAATGAGTAATAGAGGGAAAACTGACTTGACTGATTTTGATTTTTGGTGTTTTAACGCCACTTTTAAGCACCGCTTTTGGGCTATTTCGTGGCGGCCAGTTTTTATTGGTGGAGGAAGCCGGAGTGCCCCGAGAAAACCACAGAGCTTCAATAGGAAAACTGACAATCCTAGTCAATTAAGATTGGAGTCGAGTGCACCTGCACGAGTGGGGTTCGAACTCACAACCTCAGTGTTGACTGGCTAGTGATTACAGTAGTAACTACTTAGACCACTCGGCCACCGAGGCCCCCAAAACATGAAGAGGTCTCTAAACACAATAACTCTTCAAAGGAGCTTTCATTAGTTGAAGGTATAGCATTGGTGTGTATGAACTGAAAAAAATTAGGACAAATAAAAAGTAGGTTACTGCTTGTTTTTTGTTTTGTTATAGATCTCAATCCAATCTGATTAAAATACAAATCTAGTGTTCGAGCCTTCCTTACAAGATTCTGAAAACATTCTGTTTTACTTTCTGGTCTGGTAATTTTTACATCAGCCAATGAAATTTCGACCTTCAAAATTTTTGAAGGTGTGTATCATTATGACAAAATCAGAGGATCCCGAAAGGTCTTGAAAACAGAAAGTAAATCAGAGTGTTTTAAGATCCTTGTAAGCAAAGCTTGGACACAGGATCTGTATTTTTTATCAGATTGATCTCAACCCTTCCATTCAATACTTTTACAAAATCCCAAGTTAAATTTGAGTTGTCAAATGTCTTACAGGAATAAATAATAAAATGCTCCGCAGGGCGCAGCTTGATACGACCGCAGAGGTCGAACCCTGAACAGTTGGGGCAAGTATGGACACAACATTCAAGCTTGATACAGCTCTGAATTTGGATTGTGATTAAATATTTGACACAGCATAGGTTTCTGACACAGAATGAATGTGGTCTAAGAACTTAAAAATTTTAAATTGGACATTCACATATTATGGTCCAATATCCAAAATCTAAATACATGGTTAGATTCAGCATATCAAAGAACCCCAAGAATTCAATTTTTGATGAAATCAAACAAAGTTTAATTTTGGACCCTTTTGACCTCAATGTGGACAAAGTTGATAACGGGGCCCAAAAATCTAAATACATGGTTAGATTCAGCATATCAAAGAACCCCATATATTCAATTTTTGTTGAAATCAAACAAAGTTTAATTTTGGACCCCGATTTGGACCAACTTGAAAACTGGGCCCATAATCAAAAATCTAAATACATGTTTAGATTCAGCATATCAAAGAACACTAAACATTCAATTTTTGTTAAAATCAAACTAAGTTTAATTTTGGACCCTTTGGACCTTAATGTACTCCAATTTGAAAACGGAACCAAAAATTAAGAATCTAAATACACGGTTAGATTCGGCATATCAAAAAACCCCAATAATTCAATTTTTGATGAAATCAAACAAAGTTAAATTTTGGACCCTTTGGACCTCAATGTGGACCAATTTAAAAACGGGGCCCAAAATCCAAAAACTTAATACACGGTTATATTCAGCATATTAAAGAACCCCAAGAATTCAAGAATAAAACCCCATTGAAATTGATCAAGAAATAAGCAATTTATAAGAAGTATCTTCTTTTGCACAATACTGTGCAATTGAATATTTCTTGCTATTGCGCAATACTGTACAATTGACAATTTCTTGCTATTGCGCAATATTGTGCTATTGGATATTTCTTGCTATTGCGCAATACTGTGCAATTGAAGATTTCTTGCTATTGCGCAATACTGTGCAATTGAAGATTTCTTGCTATTGTGCAATACTGTTCAATTGAAAATTTCTTGCTATTGCACAATACTTATTATATAAAAATTTACACATCCTGTTTGGTGTGTATCTCCTACAATATCATTATTATTTGCTTTTAAATATAAATCAGAAATAACCAACTTAAAATGGAAAATTTTAAAAGAAAAAAAAAAAGGAAAAAAAGAAAAAAAAAGAAAAAAAAAAAAATCCCCCCCCCCCCAAATTTTTTGAACCCCCTTATGATTCATCACCCCCAAACTCAATCCCAGCCTTCCCTTTGTGGTATGGTACCTTGCAGTACAATTTCAGAGAGATCCATACACTTGAACACAAGTTATTGTCTTGAAACTAGAAAAATGCTTATTTTTGGCCCCTTTTTGGCCCCCAATTCCTAAATGTTTCAGGCAATTACCCCCGAACTCAATTCCAGCTTTCCCTTTGTGATATGAAACCTTGTAGTACAATTTCAGAAATATCCAAACACTTACACACAAGTTATTGTCATGAAACTAGAAAAATACTTGTTTTTTGCCCCTTTTTTGGCCCCTTATTCCTAAAATTTTGAGGCAATTACCCCCAAAATCAATTACAGCCTTCCCTTTGTGATATGGAACCTTGTGGTACAATGTCAGAGAGATCCATACACTTACACACAAGTTATTGTCTGAAAGTTACAAAATGCTTATTTTTGGCCCCTTTTTGGCCCCTAATTCCTTAACTGTTGGTACCATAACCCCCAAAATCAATCCCAACCTTCCTTTTGTGGTATTGAACCTTATGGTAAAATTTCATGGAGATCCATTCACTTAAACTAAAGTTAGAGTGCGAAAACCAATGTGTCTTCGGACGACGCCGGACGACGCCAGACGACGACGACGACGACGACGACGACGACGACGACGACGCCAACGTCATACCAATATACGACCAAAAAATTTTTAATTTTTGCGGTCGTATAAAAACTTGATTGATTGATTGATTGTAAGTGTTTAATGCCATTTTCAGAACTATTGGCTATATGGTGGTGATCAGTTTTTATTGGTGGAGGAAGCAGGAGAGCATGGTGGGAACTGCCACCTGTGGCAGGAAAACTGACAATTCAAGTCAATTAAGATTGGAGTCAAACGCACCTGCCATGAGCAGGCTTCAAACTCACAACCTCAGTGTTGACAGGCTAGTGATACAGTAGATAAACTATTTAGTCCACTCGGTCACTTAGGCCCTGAAAAATTGTAGTGGACTTTTGTTGTTGTATGCTCAATATGAAGTTTGGTATATTTTACAATATCGTTGTCACCTGAGCAAAAATCTCTTGACTTACTTTGGTAAATTTTCACTTTAAGTCACTCAAATTGATAGAAAAAGAGAAAAAGAAATCATTTATTTCTCGCCTGAAATGCTGAATCAGCATTTTACTCCAGTTCAATCAGGACTGAAAAAATATGCCTTCTTAACAATAGACATTTAACTTTACAATTAAAAGGTCAAGGTGAGATTCATATTTCATCTGAAATCTTTCTTAAAATTTAAACTGTCTGATACATTTCTTGAATTTTAAACAGAGTATGAACATAACCTTGATGCACTAACCAGTGTTAAAATACACAAAAAGAAGTGGATTTTTTTTTTTCACCAGGCCTTATGGTCATAAAAGTTTGAGCACGATTACCGTTCTCAGACTCAGAAATCAACCAATCAAAATATTAGATTATGTGTTTCGAGCACAATTTTTTACTCTGAGTACTGAGTAAATTTTTATGATCGAGGACCCTGTACATTGTTGGAATGGGCCAAAAGTAAGCCAAAGTTCTAAAAATTCTCCTGAGCCTTTTTTGAATGCCTTTTCTGTTCTTTCATAATATAATATATGAAAATAATTTACATTGGAAAATCCAAAACGCTGTAAATTTTAAGAATTTAAGAAATATTTTGTAAAATTTGAGCTGACAGAAATAGACTGCTGGCAAAAATGACAAAATCTATGCGAGTTATAGTGAGTCAACATAAGCATTGATTCATTTGATTGGTCAAAATATTGTAAAACAAAAAAATCTAAGAGGACAAACAGTAGCAACAATTCAACACTTGGCAAAATGAAACCAGGAAAGTTGTTTATAACAGACAATTTGATTGGCTGATTGATAGAAGTGTAGCAAAAAAATAACCAATCACAGCACCTTGACTGTACGAACTACAAATCCTAATCTGAAGCCAAATAAAATAACATGTACATGGAAAAAAATCTAAAAGTAATTTAAAGGGACAAACATTTCAACAGTTTGACACTCAGCAATCTGATATCAAGAAAGATGTTTTATAACGGACAATTTGATTGGCTGACCTGTAGAGGTGTAGGAAAATAACCAACCACAGTACGTTGTCTGAAAAATCCAATTTGCAGTCCAATAAAAAAACATGTACATTGTAAAAAATCTAAATAATTTTGGAAGGATGCACTCTGCCATAGAAGCTGTGGTTTATCATTTCTTCATCGATATCATTTCCCAAATAACATTTGACTCCGGACTCTCAACACTATATCAGAATCTACATTTATTTTTAAATTAAAATATTAATAAATCTACCTTTCCAGGCTATGTGAGATCTTGTTGGTAAATCCTATTGGTAAAACAAATCTGGCTGTACAGCAACTCCGTGATGACTAGCTGAGCCGTCACGACGGTTAGTGAAAAATTCAAAGAAATCTGAAAATAACAAAGAACACTTTCATTGTCAGTAAAATCTATGTGGAATTAAACTCATCAAGGATACCAGGCCAGACACTTGTTTTGTCTACAAAAGACTCATTAGTGTCAATTTAATCAAAAAGTTTTGATCTTAAGATCAAAATTTGATAAATTACATCTGGGTATATATTTGTGCCACTTATTTTTATCAATATATATATTTTATTTAAGATAAATGTGATTTTCAAGTTAGTGTTCATTCTGTTAGAATCTTGAGAATGCATGCAGGTTTTCGTTTTCTTTTTTTATGTGTGTGATTAACTGTCGGGACATCATATAATGGTCAAGATAGACAAAGGGATCATTGATAGCATGTAAAACTGGTTTAACATTTTAGCATGTAAAACTGGTTTAACATTTTGTATAAAAAATATGAAGATATGTTATGATTGCCAATGAGACCAACTCTTCACCAGAGACCAAATGACATAGAAGTAAACAACTATACAAGTCACCATACAGCCTTCAACGATGAGCAAAACCCATACTGCATAGTAAGCTATGAGCCTGATTACTAATTCCAGCAATCTGGACTATGTGCTGTTTCTTGTTGTGTGTGCGTGCATGTCTCTTTTTTTTTTTGCGGAATCCAGTGTTGATGGTTGGTTATAGTCTGTTGTACTGTCAAATTTTTTATTTTTTTTTGGGGGGGGGGGGGGGGGGGGGGATAATTTTTGTCATACTTAGTGTATTATTCTCTAAAATCTTTCAATTCAGTAATGTTGTCTTGATACCAGTTCTGACTTTGAGATCAAGAACAACAATTCTGACTTTGAGGTCAAAAACAACGATTCAAGCACTAGCTGTTCCATTGATTTGGTGACGAGGGTGTAACAAAGTGTATAGAACTTCAAATAGAGGTATGGATTTCGATTCCCTTTTCTTTCGAAATTTTATAAAAAAAAATGATGAAAATTAGGCTGGAATTTATCCTTGATTTTTATTTTGGAACCCCTTAGATGCCCAAAAATTCTGGATCTGTGTCTGGGATTGAGTCATGGTTAAAACCACCACACCCCTCCTTTTCCATAATATCAATCATGGTAAAGATAAATTTTAAATAGTAGCAAAGAAATTATTTTATAAGATTAAATGAATTTTCCAAAAAATCAGTGTTTTCTTATGATAGGGGGGGGGGGACACCAAAATAATTCTTTTCTGAGAAATTTTTACACCATAAAAATTCACATGTAAAATGGCAAAATTTTATAGTATATAAAATACAAACCTGATATATATTTTGAAGGTAAATTCCTCGAAATACAAACAAAATATAAGCTAATACAAGTACACGATCAACAGCATAAAGTGTGTATGTTATTGTATCACATTATTCATTCTGACTCATTTTACATGTATGAGGAGAGAATGTTATTACCCATGTGACAAAATATTTCTATTTTTGATGCCAAATAATTTCCCCACGTTCTATTTATAGACCTTACATTCAGCTTTAGGAAATAGATATAGACCAATCCCCCTGTCAAACAAAATTCCATTCCCAGTATTAAAAACATCTATGAAATATTTTTTAGATCTGTACAAAATGTTCCTTTATAGTTATTATAAAAGTCATCAGTGCTAATAAGGCAACAACTATTCATCTTTACTTATTTTTGGGAGGGGCGATGATTTTTATTTAAATGAATTATTCTACATTCTTGAAGAAATAAAAAAAAAATAGTTTCTGAAGGGAAAGTGAAAAAATAGTTTGTTTCAATTGAAATTAGGGAAAAATTAATTAAAAATTTCATGAAATCCCAATAATTAATATCATTTTATTCAACTGTTCAACATTCGCAATATCTAATGCCTGCAAAAATTTCTGAATTTACAATACTTTTCTACATCTACTGAAAATCTTAATATCTAATGGCAATTTTCACAATAATAAAATAAAAAAGCAAAATTTTTCAAATTTATAGTATTTTAAAGCTCCCTTAAAACTGTATCTATTTCTATCTAAAGGTCTGATTGTAAGATGTGAGTTCCTATTAAGGGCATAGACCTGAGACTGAGTTTAGACAGACAATTCTTTTAATCTGCATTAATGTGTTTGAAAAAGTCAGTTTCATCAATGCATTTGAAAGAATCAAGTGAAGCAGATTCAAATTGACCAGTGTTACTTTGAAGCTTACATTATAATAATTAAAATGTATAAAACAAAACATACCAGTGAGTTTTTATGAGTTAACAGTATGTCCCTTCATCTTAATATACCTCCTTAAATTCATAGTCAAGACTGTTACTTTGAAGCTTACATTATAATAATAAAAAATGTATAAAACAAAACATACCAGTGATTTTTATGAGTTAACAGTATGTCCCTTCATCTAAATATACCTCCTTAAATTCAAAGTCAAGACTGACTAGATGAGAACCAGCAATAGAATGTCTTTGGTTTTTCCTTTTGAATATTCATATCTCAAAACGTATACGACTTTTTCTAATATCTAACATGTTCTTATATTTAAGTACAGGATGAATTGAAGGACTTTTCAAGGTTTTTTTACAACTTTAAATTTGATACGTTTTGTATAATCATCCACCCTTTATTACTTTTTACATAAGATCGAAGCATCCTAAAAAGAAGTTTTCAAGGTCTTTACAAGGTTGTTTAACACGGAATTTAAAATTAGGTCATGGGAGCATGCGGATATAAAAACTCATCATGCAGGCTAAATTTTCTGTCATGTGATCTAAAATTATTCTACTTCAAACAGCGAGTATGAATGACAATATTGTCACTGACGTGACCCCTGGTCTATAACAGCATCGAATTCGTCCTAAATAGCTTCAAAAGGACATAAAAAAATGATGACAGCTCTTATTTTTGGACAGTATTACCATATATATAATTAAACGACTCTCAATTTACAACAGTATTTAGTCAGATTTTAATGTGATGATTGTATTAAAGAAAAAAAATCAAACTTGATGACCATTGCAAAAATAAAAAATTTTAATTTTAAATCCATCATTCTGACAGCCCTTATTTTTGGACAGGATAATCATAAAATTGAGAATGGAAATGGGGAATGTGTCAAAGAGACAACAACCCGACCATAGAACAGACAACAGCAGAAGGTCACCAACAGGTCTTCAATGCAGCGAGAAATTCCCGCACCCAGAGGCGTCCTTCAGCTGGCCCCTAAACAAATAATATATACTAGTTCAGTGATAATGAACGCCATACTAAAATCCAAATTGTACACAAGAAACTAAAATTAAAAATAATACAAGACTAACAAAGGCTAGCGGCTCCTGACTTGGGACAGGCGCAAAAATGCGGCGGGGTTAAACATGTTTATGAGATCTCAACCCTCCCCCTATACCTCTAGCCAATGTAGAAAAGTAAACGCATAACAATACACACATTAAAATTCAGTTCATGTATATATATAATTAAATGATTCTCAATTTACAACATTATATTCAAATTTGAATGTGATGATTTTTAAATAAATGAAAAAACATGCTGACCATTGCAATAATTAAAATTTTTCAATTTCAGACTATCTCCCTCATGGTGACATCCCTTATTTTTGGATAAGATACCATATCTATAATTAAATGACTCTAAATTTACAACAGTTTGTTCAGAATATAATGCAATGATTTTATTCATGAAAAAATATGATGACCATTGCAATAATTAAAATTTATATAATTAGGACTGTATCTTCCTCATTCTGACAGCCCTTATTTTTGAACAGGATTACCATTATATTATTAATAAACTCTTCATTCATACCAGGATTGAAAGACTCTAAATTTACATCAGTATCTTAAAAGTTTAATGTGACCATTTTATTAATGAAGAAAAAATCAAATTTGATGACCATTGCTTTAATTTAAATTTCAGATTTTAAATTTAGGAATGTATCTCACTCATGCATACATTTAATTAATGTAGCTCTGATTCCTTGTGCAAATTCAGCTATACCTTTGGTCTTTATTGGCTTAATATCAGCTACTCAACCTTTGAATTAGATTTTTGAACCTTCAAATACTTGTGCCTTGAGCAACCACTGAATTACAGGCATCTGACTTCGGACAGGCACATACAGTTAAACATATTTGTGGGTGCCTATCCCTCCCCCTAACCTGGGACAGTGGTGTAACATCACAACATATGAACAAACTATAATAAAGAGTTGCGCCAGGAGCGCATAATATGCCCGTTGTGTTCTCAAAGAATAAAGTTCAATAACTTCTCAATGTTATATCAGAAATTTTTAAAAAAATAAAGGGAGGGTTTTTAATAGACATAAACTGGTCAGTCACCAAAGTTTCACGAAAACTGCTCAAAGCACCTTAAAAAAGAGGGACGAAAGCTACCAGAGGGACAGTCAAACTCACAGATCGAAAACAAACGGACAACGCCATGGCCAAAATAAAAAGACAAACAGACAAATAATAGTACAGATGACACAACATAGAAAACTAAAGACTAAGCAACACAACCCCACCAAAAAGATGTTGTCTGAAAACTGGAAAATCACCCCTTTCTATGAATAGAATCCCATAACCCGGTAAAGTAAAATCTAAAATTTATAAAAATCGAAAGGGAGCTTACGTCAATAGATATAAACAATTCACCAAAGTTTCATGAAAACCGCTGAAAGCATTTTTGAGTTATTGTCCGAAAACTGGAAAATCCCCCTTTTTTAATGAATAAAACCCCATTACTCGGAAACATAAAATCTAAAATTTATAAAAAATCAAAAGGGAGCTCACATCAATAGATATAAACAATTCACCAAAGTTTCTTGCAAATTGGTGAAAATGTTTTTGAGTTATTGTCAGAAAACTGGAAATCCCCCTTTTTTAATGAATAAAACCCCCATAACTCGGAAACGTAAAATCTAAAATTTGTAAAAAACGAAAGAGAGCTCACATCAATAGATATAAACAGTTCACCAAATTTTCTTGCAAATTGGTGAAAGTGTTTTTGA